TCTTGGGACTACAAAAATTTCCATCAATAAACTAGAAATGTGGTATAGAATATCAAGATACGAGCTTCACCCGAAAAGGGAACAATATACACCAATTAAATACAATTGTAAATAAATTAGCTTGAGGTTTATACCCTTCTAATCTAATCCTTATGAAACTAGATTACAATCGGATGTCACCCAAACCATCAAAATACTATAATTAAGAATGACATCCCAAAATGCTCCCCAAAGCTCTCTTTACAAGGGTTAGTCAAGCCTGCTTAGTGATCCCGACACTAGAACCTGAGATACATATTGACACAAAACAAGTGTTATGTCAAAAATCCTAGTGAACATGAACAAGAAGTAAACAACTACATTTAAATATTTAAACCCATTTATAAACCATTTATAATATTTTTTTTTGGAATTAACAGGGGAGAACTATGTCCTCTTAGCAAGTTACACCTTAAGAGATGGTTGACCTTAGTGTCTAACCTTACGAGTAACACCTTAAGGCTCGGCACAATTAGTGTCTACCTGTAAGGTAACACCTCAAGCAGCAGAGTTCTTAGTGCTTACCTCCAAAGTAGCACCTCAAGATCTAACCCTCCTAGTGCCTACTTGAAGAGATCATCCAAACATACAGTGACAATTAGAGCATATTCATCTAGTGGTCCATCCACCATGCTTATCATATTCAAAAGTCCTCAATTTGCAATAATCCCAAAACATATCCACATTCTACATAGAAAACTCCATGCAGAGACTTTAAACCAAATAGCCTATAGATATTTAACATACATAGTTTAAATCATAGGAGTAAATCATGGCCCAAAACAAGGGTTTCATACAAATGCACGAAATATCCCCCGAATGAAGTTATGTGATCAAGTTTCCAAATGAAGATATACTACTTGAGATAGAGCTAGGAATGAAGGCAAGATAAACATATTAAAATGAATATAGTGTTACAAAACATTGTAAAACTCACTTGCTAGGTTTTTAGACTAAACCTAGAAACTTAGCAAATATTAGAGATGAAGAGGACATCTTGAAGCTCTAGTCTGATACTTGATTCTTCTAGTTTAAAGGCTCATAAATGCCTCCAAAAAACCGATCTTCAGGACTTGAATGCTTCTAGGTCAAAATAAATGAAGAGAAGGAGAGGTAGGTATGAGAACTTGATGAAATGAGGGCTATAATCTCGACTTTAAGTCACAATTGCGATGTGTGGCCCCAAGGTCGCAAGTGTAAGGGTCGCCCGTGTCCCTAAGACATTTACGGTACACAAAACATGACGCTGGACATGCGACGCAAGAGTCGTGGGCTCCCAAAATGCCAGTTGCGGTATGCCAAATGTGACTTTGGCTTGCGGAGCAAAGGTCGCGGGTGCAAGGGTCACACTTAGTCCCTGACTAGAGCTTGTTGAGGACTTAAGTCATAAAACTTACCTTGTCTAAAGTGCCCATCGAACGCACCCAAAACCTTTATCATAACATTGTGCCAATCTTAGTTTAGTGCACTTATAATGCCTCAAAGTATACTTACCCAAAGTTCCAGGTGTTACCCCTCCTCCCAAAGACTCTATACAGACCCGCCCCTGGAGATGAACACATTATTGTCATAAAAATGAGTTGATCTCATTGTTGCTTGAATTGTGTAGAATAACGAAAGTTGGGGAGATACCATTTACGATCTTGAACATTTATAAAACTATTTAACTTAAAAAGTTCTACTGTAAAGCATAAAATTATAATGATACAATGTGAATTGACCAATCGTTTCAATCTAAAGGTTAAAGGCTATATTGCTTATGAATGATGCATAGAACCCTGAGTAGCTTCGTCGATTAAATCTTTGAATGACAACGGATAAATATATTGCTATAGAAACTTAACAGTATTCAAAAAATACTATTTTTTGGCTTATTTTTATTTCCTCTTGAATCATTCATTTTCTTTAAAAAAGAGATTATAACATAACGAGGTTCCACATTTTACATTTAAACAATGGAATAGAATCAAAGATGGTAACATTAATCTATGCACATCAAAAGGAAAAAAAATAGGGTAAACTTATATTTTCTCTTTGGTTTGTTAAATTAGGGTTTTTGTCTGTGCTTTTTCGAATTTACGGTTTTCATCCTTTTGGTTTGTAGTTTGTTGTTGTTTTTGTCTTTAAGCCTAACTACATTATTAATTTACTGTTAAGTATAAGGAACGTATATAGTAATAAAATGTAAACCAAAAAAACAAAAAATGTAATGAATTATAAACCATGTATAGAATCAAAAACTGTAATTTTAAAAACATGGTAACAAAGATAGCAATATTCAACCAACCATGGGGACCAAAAAAGTAGTTTACTCTAAATTTATCTATGACTAAATGGTGCTGATGACTTGATTGTTACTTATGCTTTATGTCAATGATACTATTGTTTTTTCCGAAGTCATATGCTTGGTTCAATAATTTATTTATGACAATGTTTTTTGGTTATCATTGCGATTATTTTGTCTATCTAATGTAGAGTAAATTACATTAATCAACCTTATGGTTTGCTTAAACTCTATAAATTGTCCCTGTAATTTTGGAATTACTTCAAATCTTTGATCATTTCAGTTTGCTTACACCATTTGTTCCTGTCCCTAACAAACATCTAAGTCCATCCATTAAGTTGAGAAGCATTGTGGTCATTTTTACCGTTTGTCATGTTTTTATACAAGTTTGTATGAAGATGATAACTGAATAACCTTAAAGGGTTAAGTTAGCTCATTGACAATAAGGATTTAAGTCTCTCCAAGGCCATTGATTTGATTTTACAGGCTATTTTCAAGGCCCCATGAGATTAGTCGAAATGCAAACAAGTTGGCCCGAACATCTATTGTTGACAAAAAGATAAAAATAAATAAACCAACTAAATAACACCCTTGATTATAAACTAAACTTTTGGAATCGTTATTAAATCATTTAAAATTAAAGTTGTGTTCTTGAAACCTTTTTTATGAAGGAAAAGGAAAGGAGAGGAAAGTAACAAAAAAGAACTCATGTCCTTGAAATTTTTTTAAGAAAGAAAGTAAAGGGAAGGAAAAATGATAAGTTTCATTCCAAAACTTTCCTCGTAAATGTGGAAGGAAAGAAAAGACATGAAATTTAATTAAGAAATTGTTAAAATTACAAAACGATCCAAATTTTCATTCTAAAGGGTACATTTTTAAAGAGTATATTGGTAAAAAAAATAACATCTTTTCTTTTCTTTTCTTTCTCTTATATATATATATATATTTTTTTTCCAATTTCAAGAAGGCAGGATAAAGAGTTTTAGGAGGGAAATTTGTAAATAAAATAAAGAAAGATAAGATTAGACAATGGCATGAAAAGGCGTGGTTTGTTAAGGTGGGATGGAGACATAGAAAAAGGTGAGATAATGAAGAAGAATAAAAAAAGTTGGTCATAAAATACGAGTCGTTAGTCGTTAATAAATTAATAAAAACTAAGGCGCCGATTGCTTTTGCGGCATCTTCGCTACTTAACTTTAAACACCAACATCAACGCCTCCAATTCCCTTTTTTAAGCATCAATATGCTGTTTGTTATCACCCAACACTCTCCCTCCATTATTTACCATTCTCATAACCTATTAACAATATATATATAGAGAGATTGTTTCAAATACAACTCATCGCATTTGTACAACCAATGTAATCCAATAAATTGAGATATTTATATAAATGATGAGAGTTCATTTATTATAATTTGAATATTTATGGAAGATGAATATGTCTAATTAATTATTATCAATACTTTATATTATGAAACAATCAAAACTTCTATGAAATCACATATTAATCAAATGAAATGAACGGTTGCGATTGAGTTGTATTGGTTGTACAAATATCAAGGGTTGTATAATAACCAACCTCTCTCTCTCTCTCTCTCTCTATATATATATATATATAATAACTTTGATTAAAAACACTATGTGAAATATTCAGTTTTTTTATTACTTTTAGTCTCATTTTCATCTATGAATTGCGTTTTAGAAGAGGACACCTCTGACCCTGTTGTTATCTGTTATCTCTACCTCTACCCTCAAAGGATAGAGTTATTTACTGATTATAGAAGATAAGATAAATGTTTATAGTTATTTAGTAATATTTGTCATCCAAATATATAGTTATACTTTGTATTCTAGGTTTTGAGTTTTCTTAAATACTAAAAGCATCATTATAAATATAAATATAAATATAAATATGAATAATATGATAAATAAGAAAAAGGGTACACTTTTTTGGGTTATTTGTTTTCAAATGTTTGATCTAAAATTTGATAAATTGCTATTGCTTGTGACAATGGTATAACTTTGTTAGTTTATCTAGTCTATGAGATCAAAAGGTTCACATAATTTGTGTTAAAACCCTCTAAAGGATACACTTTCAAACCCACAACCATCATGGTCAAAAATCTAAATAACTACTAGTTCGTGCCAAAGGCACTAATAAACTCGAGATTTATAACTGTAAAGATAATTCAACTGGTAAGAGATTGATTTGGCTTCGAGTGAGATCACTCGGTGTTTGTCAGACTTTTAATAATAAGATTAATCGAGGTGTGCACAAACTAACCATGACCCAAACAACCACAGTTATTAGAGAAAGAAAAACTCTAAGATATATTTGATGATTATAAATCTTGTAGCCGTTGACATATATTTTGATGGGTTTTTGTTGTCAATAACCAACATGATGTAAAAAAAACCTAAACCTAACATAACCGTCTATGATACGGTAAATGGTTACTTTAGGGAAAAGTAATAGTATAACCACTAATTGAGGATGTTATATGCTTATATAACGATACTTGATTAATAAACAATATAAAGCTTTATCAAAAAGCCATGATTTGCGTACATAGATTGGATTCAATTCCAAGTAGTACCCCTATAAAAGAAGGGCATTCCATTGTTCAACCCACAACCCACAACAATAACTTCTAACCAACTTTGCTTACTACAATTTTACATATGGGTTTCTCAAAGGGACCATCCTCCTTCTTGCATGTTTTCTTCTTGGCACTCTTGCTTTGGGACCATGGGGCTCAAGCCAAACAAAATTACAAAGATGCCCTTGCCAAATCCATCTTGTTTTTCCAAGGTCAGAGATCCGGGAGGCTCCCCACCTCCCAGAAACTCTCGTGGAGATCCATTTCGGGCCTCTCTGATGGCTCACTAGCACATGTACGTCGGTTATGTTCTCGTGTACTTGCTTGTCTTTTATGATTGTTGATGCTTATTTCTAACTCTCTTCCAAATTTTAGCACCATCTTTTGTATTTTTCAACTTCTTATAATGTCCGTTCTCCTGCAAATTGTTTGAATATGTTGGACCCTTTCTCTTGGTGCACTTTGCACAAGTCAGGGTCTTTGCTGAAACAACCGCTCCACTCTCAAGGTGGTGGAGGTCTGGTTTGCACATATCTCCCAAACCCCACCTAGTATAAGATTTATTGGGTCCTTTGGTTTGATTAATATATCAGTATATGATGGCATTTGCAGGTGAATTTAGTTGGAGGGTACTATGACGCAGGAGACAATGTGAAATTTAACTTCCCGATGGCGTATACGATAACAATGTTATCGTGGAGTGCTTTGGAGAACTCGAAGCCCCTTGGCCCACAGCTAGAAAATGTGAGAGTGGCTATTAGGTGGGGGGCTGATTACCTTATCAAGTGTGCGACAGCCACCCCGGGTGTACTCTATGTGGGTGTCGGAGACCCGAATACAGACCACAAGTGTTGGGAGCGGCCAGAGGACATGGACACGGCCCGAACGGTTTACTCCGTCTCCCGGAACAAACCAGGGTCTGATGTTGCTGGTGAAACAGCAGCAGCTTTAGCTGCTGCTTCAATGGTGTTTCGGGTAGTAGATAAAAAATACTCCAAGTTGTTGTTAAGAACAGCAAAGTCTGTGTTCCAATTTGCTGCACAGTACAGGGGTTCCTATAGTGACTCCCTTGGTGCAGCTGTTTGCCCATTTTACTGTTCTTATTCTGGATATAAGGTGTGTGATTTTTCATTTTTCTAACTTTTGACTTTGTTTTCTTGTACCTACTTACTTTTGTCTGTATGTTGCTTACTTACTGCTAACTAGGTTTTCTTGTTTCTAAGTTCTTTCTGGAACCTTCTACTTTTTCAATTTCCGCATACTTTTTCACAAATCAAGGATCTTCACAGAAACTGTTGTTCTGTGGTTAGATGGAATATACTTGGTTCGTTTGGTTTGGTTATTATTCTATATGTATAAGCTGATGTTTTCTTTTGTCAGGATGAATTGTTGTGGGGAGCTGCATGGTTGCTAAGGGCAACAAAAGATGTATCCTACCGCAATTTTATTAACTCATTAGGCGCTAATGATGCAACAGATATATTCAGCTGGGACAACAAACTTGCGGGTGCACGAGTTCTTCTGTCTAGGGTAACTACTATCCATATACGTTGAGAAATTCGACTTATTTTTATATCCGTTTTATTCATTCTTATCTGTTTATGTTCTGTTAGGGGAGTTTGGTGGCAAATGATAAGTCATATGAGCCATTCAAACAACAAGCTCAGGATTTCATGTGCAGAATTCTACCCAATTCCCCTTATTCCACTACACAGTATACTAAAGGTACAAACAATACATTAAACACACAGAAAACAACTACTCAAGAAAGCACACCTCAAGACTATTGTTCACTTGTTGCATGCAGGGGGTCTAATGTTTAAACTAAGTGCAAGTAATCTCCAATATGTGTCATCCATAACCTTCTTGCTCACCACCTATGCCAAATACATGAAATCAGCAAAAACCACCTTCAATTGTGGCAACATCTTGGTGACCCCAGATACCCTAATTAACCTTGCAAGAAAACAGGTATCTTCTTCTTGCTTTTTTTTCTTTTCGCAAGTGATTTGATGGGGTTTCACATATCTTATATGGTATCAGAGCCTAAAGGACATATGTACCCGTCTAGCCTCCATTGGAGGGGGTGTTACTTTCTTCTTGATATATGTTGGAACCCCCTCCTCTTCTCTCCTCAAGAGGCTCTTTTGGAGTATAAGCGAATCCTAACAATTTCTATATGTTTTTTCAGGTTGACTATATATTAGGAGACAACCCAATGAAGATGTCTTATATGGTAGGATATGGAGCAAATTACCCGCGAAGAATTCATCACCGAGGCTCCTCATTACCCTCAGTATCAACTCACCCGCAATCTTTTGGCTGTGAAGGAGGCTTCCAACCATTTTATTACACCTCGAACCCGAATCCCAACATACTAACTGGCGCAATCGTGGGAGGTCCAAATGAGAACGATTTCTACCCTGATGAGCGAACCGACTACAGTCATGCAGAACCTGCTACATACATTAATGCAGCTATAGTTGGGCCTTTAGCATACTTATCTGGGAGAGCTTAAGATAATACATTTAGAGCTTTCAGATTACATGCATGTTGTATCAAAATCAAGTATCTGCCACCCAAAGGAGTAGGTAAGAATACAAGTATTTTAAGTTGTAGTAATTAATCATGGTTCTGTATCTGTTTCCACCATATACTTAAATTAACATCCCAATAATGAAGGCAATATTAGCATGTTACAAAACTTGATATCCAAGTCAACCATTGGTCAGCTTGCATACCAATTAATGGCTCAAAAGAGGCATTGCTTCGAGTGTATAAAGTCTTAACCAACTTGAATATTATCTTTAGATTTACTTTTTTAGACGTTTTTTTTATCAGATTATGGGTCATATCTCAGCTGAAAAGAATAAGAGTTGCCACAATCTGTGGAATTCTTGTCTATTCCATGATAAGATTTAAAAGGAAACAGCTATTTGATGAATTTTGAGCCAAAAATGGCTATTTTATGTATTTATTTTTTGGTATATACACCACTAATCAAGGATGAATGGGTGCAACTTTGGAAGTAGCCATCAATTGGTATTTATTAATTTTGAAAGGAGCTTGTTTTGGTATGAGACTTCAGCACAAGCAATGATGAAAAGCTTGCTTATATGTTGTCTATTCTAATGACACAAACAATTAGTGATTGGCTTTTCTTAGTTATTCGGGGTTTTTCCACTCACAATCTTTACCCCACATACACATATACATATACATATACATATATATATATATATATACATATACATATACATATATATATATACATATACATATATATATATATATATATATAAAGAGAGAGAAAGAGGATCATGCTAAGTTAACTAATTTGCGAGAACATGAAAATGAATATAGATCTCACATAATTCATTAATTAAAAATTAACATAATTTTTTTAGAAATTAGGATAATTATTATTTTGAATTGGATAAATCTGTAAAAATCTTTTAGATTTATTTATTTTTTAATTTAATAAATTCATAATTATTTATAAAGTTTTATATAACTTTTTTTCTAGATATACCTTGATAAAAAAAATCAAAACTTTCATCAAATATCACATGTGATATCTACAATTAATTCATAAAGAAAGAAACGAGAACGCTAATTATTCAAAAAAAAAACAAGAAAAATGTCGTTAATGCACAAAATCACATGTGATTTTACATTAACATCAAAAAATGGAAACAAATGACTTTTGAACCTTTGTGATTTTTACATGAATATATATATATATATATATATATATATATATGTATATATAGGGGTTGGTTTAAATGTTAACCAAGATTATTGTGTTAACTTTGTTAACCAATCTTCACCATTGATTCTTACAATAAATGATTGTGATCAATCATGACACAAAATTAATTTTTTAAATTTATAATTTCAAAGAACATATGTGAACAATGGGGAAAATGGTATTTAGGTAATTTTCTTTTTTATGTAACTCCCATATCAATAATTGGGAGTTACAAAATCAAAAGGTCCCATTATTTTTGTTAATTTATTTTTGTTAATGTAAGAACCATATGAACACATCTATATATACATATGAACCATTGTGTCAAATATGAACAAACATTGACATATATATGAACTTGGACTGCATAGCATTTATGAACACAATATGAACATAATAAGAACAACTGCTACACGAAAGGAAATAAAAGAAATAGGTATGAACACAATATGAACAACTTGTGAACAACAGTTCTTTCATTATGAACACATTCAGGAACGAGCCAATGTTGAGATATGCAGCTAGTGTACATATGAACACAATATGAACATTTGTGAACAAGAGTTCTTTCATTATGAACACATCCAGGAGCGAGTCAATGTTTAGATATGCTACTAGTGTATATATGAATACAATATGAACAGCTTGTGAACAATAGTTCATTCATTATGACCACATTCAGGAGCGAGCCAATGTTGAGATATGCAGCTAGTATACATATGAACACAATATGAACACTTGTGAACAATAGTTTCTTCATTATGAACAATGGGTTTATCCATAATAGCTTGAACGATACCGAAAACTTTACTACCGAGTCTCTTCTACCGATCACAAATTCAAAAACATTATAGATAGAAAAATCAATATTATAAAAAAAACAAGATCAATAATAAATTAACAAAAGTTACGAATTCAATATTAGATGCATTGATTCATTTCCATACTAGAACATATATGAACAAACCTGAACATATATGAATACTAGTTGCAGTCTATGGCATGTCAAGCATCACAAACAGTTGATGGAGCCGAATGGTTATCAAAATTGGATTGCATAACAAATTAAGTTGACRATGAACTCATTCCATTTGAACATATGAATTGGGCTCGTAGTAATAATTAAAGAAAAAGCTACCAACACAATATGAACTATAAAAAACACAAAAACGTTATAATCAACATAATTTCGATTAAAAATTTGTATGAACACACACAGTTCATTAGATGCCTTGATTCATGTCCCTACTAGAATATATATGAACACAACTGAACGTATATGAACACTAGTTGCAGTCTATGGCAGGTCAAGCATCACAAGCAGCTGATTGAGTCGAATGGTTATCCGAATTGGATTGCATAACAAATTAAATTGACGATGAACTCATTCCATTTGAACATATGAATTGGGCTCGTAGTAATAATTAAAGAAAAAGCTATTAACACAATATAAACTATAAAAAATACAAAAAAGTCATAATCAACATAATTTCGATTAAAACGAATACAATAACATATTAATCCAATACCAATACAAACGCTTTGATTATTGTTTTCACTTTCGGAACTCGAAGTCCGATTGTTATCGTAAACCATTATAACCTTCCCATTGTTGTCGAGTTGTTTCCAATGAGTTTATCCATATTAGCTTGAACGATATCGAAAACTTTACTACCAACAATCACAAATTCAAGAACATTATAGATAGATAAATAAGTATTATAGAAAAACAAGATCAATGGTAAATCAACAATAATTATGGGATTTTTTGATTTTATAACTCCCAATTAATGATATGGGAGTTACATACAAACTAAAATTACATATTTACCCTTGTCATTAAATTATGAGATGGATATGAACCTAGATAAAAGATGTATTTTCATTGGTTGAGCTTGGTTTACAAAGTTAACACAATAATCTTGGTTAACATTTGAACCATGCTCTATGTATATATATGTATATACATATATATGTATATGTATGTATGTGTGTGTGACTCATGTACGATTTTGTAGATCCCAGATCTCTCAATAACACTAATAATCTAGTTATGAATAACCAAATTATAGTGATTTTATGAAGAAAGTTATGAAGTCTCAAGAATAAAATAAGAATATTTAAGAATAACTTTGAGCTTCAAAGGTTTTACTTTATAAATTCAGAAACGTAAAACAACGAGTAAAAACCTTTTTTTTTACAATAGGTCTGAGTACCTATTTATACTAATAAGCTAACAATAAGATAACTATCTAATGCTACTTTCTAGCAAATCGTCTATCAAACAGATAGGGTTTATCTTTCACATGGATAAACATTAACATTAAGATAAACTCGAAATCCAGCTATTGATTTGTCATCTCCAGCTGTCATTCATGGTATGATTATTTCATCCTTATCTTCAAATCTTCATTGCATGCTTGGATGCAGTGCTGGAAAATCTTCTAAGTGTTGATGACCAGAGGATCGATGAGAATGCTCTTTCCATCGCATCCTTAGACTGTCCATCGGTCCTCTGGTTGAACTATCCATCGATCTTCTGGTTGAATTCCAGACTTAGTCGATTCTGCCTTGATGTCTTCATTCGTCTTCTGGTTCTTCATCACTTGTTGTTTTTCATTACTTTTTACATCATGAATTATGGGGTTTAACAATCTCCCCCTAAGTAATGAAATAACAAACATAGTCTAATCTGGACACATATGTGAAGAACAGACACTAATCTAGTAGAAAATCATCAAACTCCAAATTTTCATTGGATGATGAAATTTCTTTACAATACTGGAAACAAAATACATCAAGGCAAGATAAGTAAAAGTTTTGACTCATCACTAGCTACCTGAGTATATCTCTTTGAAGCGCAAGAGTAGTCTTCGATAAGCAATGATCGTTGATATCTCGTGTATGAGATGACTCCCCTCTTCCCTTGGCACATGATTTCTGCCCACTCTTTCTCTAATGTTTTTCTGAAACCATTCAAGTGTATCTGTTGAATACTTGAAGGCTTCAGTCATTCTGAAGAACTTTTTAACCCCGAACTCATTCTTGTAAACAAGTCCAAGTTCAGGTTGAGTAAGAACTAAAGCAGAACGTATCTCCTGCAGGCCCTGGAAGTCTTCGTTTGGAGGAGCGCAGGATAATCTCTCAATGCCTAGCCTAAAATCAATTTCAAAATCTGTTCTGGCTCTGAGCTTTACTAGGGACTCCATTGTTTTTACAATAACTCGGTTTGCCATTCCAAATCGTATCCCATGATCTTGCCTTTGAGCTGTGTAGGCATATAACTCAATCAAGTCATATGGGTTGAGATTGATGAGGTCGTTTTCGTTGAACACGCTAACAATCCCACGGGCTCTCTCCACGGTGAACTCGATGTATCTGATAGCTCGGTTGGCAAAAGACTTTATTTTCAAGTCCACGACTTTCCTTATTCCATCATTTAAAAAGACAGCTTGAGGTTCTTGAGTAGTTTGTCTGACGAATCGATGGTGTAGAAGGTTCATTGACTCAGGTGATAGGATTGGAGGATTGGTTGACAAACTTTCATCGCGATCTTGATACATGTATTGATGGATATTTTCCATCAAGATTGGTTCCCTGGGCGGCAATTGAGGAAGTCTCCTCATCGACTCCATGTTCTGTATTATCTCATCTACCAGGCCTTGTGGAGGTTGCCTTAAAGAAGAGGGAATGTCTGCATGCACCACTGGTTGATGGGTTAAGGGTTGTGTTTTGGTTTGGGGTTGTGTATGGGTAGAGGGTGAGTTTTCTTTGGTTGGTTGGGTAGTTTCTGGTGCATGGGCTTCTGTAGGGCTTTGGGGTCGTTGAGGCGATGGTTTGGTTGTTGTAGGTTCTGGTTGTGTGGAAAGGGTGAAGGGTTGTGTTGTGCGAGGTGTTGGAGAAGGGGTTAAGGGTAAGTTTATTATGGGTGAGGAAGTTAAGGTTTGGTTTGG